TTTGCAGCCAGAATCGAAGTGACTTTCTCTTGTTGCTATGCACGGCACACGATCGATTGTAGTTGCCCTCGCTCTTCAATGACTAGCTCATTAGAGTGTACAGCGCATCGGTCCTGGCGAACAGATATTGGCTGGGACATTAGATTTGGAAGACAACGCCTGGAGAAGCCCGGGAATGGACGGAGATCCATCGATTTGGGGCTGGACGCTCAGCAGGGGCCACGTTCCGGATACATGGAAAGTTGTCATGACAGGCACCAGCCATACTGTCCTCTTGGGACCAAATCTATCGTATCAGATCTCTGCTTATGAGGTGTCTCCTGGTTCATCCTTGTGAACTGGGCTCCCCGCGAAGGCCTCATGGCCTCATGGTAACTCTGTGCAACAAGGTTCTACCCCCTGTAATCGCAGGATTCACAAGGCCCGGGCCAGATAGGAAGCCTGTGGTCCAAGGAGCCTGAGATCCAGCACATCATGATGCTCGCCAAGCCGCGGTTTGTGAAGTCCACCACGGGCATGACTTACGAAGCGTGGCCTTAAAGCCCTAAGGGCTAATGGGTATCCCTTCGCACGTGCCATGGGGGAGGTGCTGAGTTTGGGTCGACAAGTTTGAGACCAGGACTGAGGTCTTGATACGACAGCTGAGCTGAGACTGAGCACCCACATCTTCTGAGGCATGTACACACAGGAAGAGGTCCTCCTCCTCCTTGTCAAGATCCTATCGCTTGCAGTAGTGAAAGCCAGACCCTGCTCACGAGTCAGCACAGCCTGGGTACCATGCCTGCGTTTGTGGCTTGTCACCATGAGGATACCGGTGATACGCGAACCTCTGAGACTGCGTGGTTCAACAGGAAAGAGGACTGAGTCTGGGCTTCGAAGCTAGTTGTCAAGCCCTGCATGACTTTCAGTACGCCCAACACGAGGGATGGAATCTTTCCTAAATCTTGAGAACTCGTGATGCAATCAGGGTTTCAGGCATCGGCTTTGACAGCGATGCAAGGAGCACCTGCTGCAAATCTGCTGGTCATGTTCGCAGAGAGTGCGCGGGCTCTGCCACGTTCCTTAAAGAGCGGTCATGTTCCCCGGAATTTCCACCAGGAAGAGCTGCAAAGATGGTAAAGATTGTTAAAGACAACATTCACGGGCCATACGAGCCAGCCTTTACTCAGGCAAGAATAGGGCTAGCCTCGCTGGTCACAAGATGGTCAACGGATGTTTCTTCCCTGGCAAGGGTTTGCCAGCACCGACACACAGATCCATTCAGCAAGTATAACAGTATAACGTAAGAACCAGGACAAAGACTGGTATCAGATTTGCTAGGACTTCATTGCATCCAGTTGCAAGGTGCAGCTTTGTGTGTCTCGGAGGATTCTCTGAAATTGTGGGTGCCGAGCATGCCTTTGCAGGACTCGGGCGATGCAGTCTTGGCCAACATCACAGCTCGCATTACCGAGCTGACGCAACTACCCCACGAGCACATGGAGCCATTCCAGGCAAAAAGCAGGGCAAACAAGGCATTTAGGTGAGCTCTAGGGTGGAGCTGATGTAGCTCGTTCCCACTTAAATATGCCCTGAGCAGCCCGGATCCCCTAAACCTTGAACATCATGTCCTAAGCCTTGAAACTTCAGCCCTAGAATCCCTTAACTTCCCAACCTTTCGCCCCCTAGAGGAACCTATCCTACGGCATACAGAAACTTGCCACAGGTGGTCCGCTATCAGCCTGGCCAGTTCTTCCAGGGCCACCAGGCTCCTCCCATAAGAATCGCGTGGATAACAGCACCAATACCTGTGGAATGGGCAATAGCTGTGGGAACAATCGCGGTCCAAACACGGGTTGGCGGGGGCAACTACTGCAGCTACGGCGTCTCCTGCAACTTAGAAAACATGCCCTTGCCCCGCCGCAAACTGAAAAGAGAAGATTTAGGTTCTCACGCTTCGCAGCTAACAGGAGCGCCCTCACCCCTAGCGCAGAACCTCTGTCAGTTCAAGAGGACTACTTGGACGAGCAAGAGCACCAGGTCTGTGGCCGCTTGTCGAAGGTGTGATTGGTATGTCTCTCACTAGTAATTATTTCTGTACTTCCAGTAGCGCTGGTCGGTTCTTTAATATGCTATTGTGATGTGGTGGCGGCGGTGGCAGTGTTGGTGCTGGCCGTAGCTGTGGAAGCGGCGGTGCTGGTGGCAGCAGTGCTAGCCGTAGTACCATCAGCAGCAGTAGGAGAGGGAGGCTGATGAACGATGAAAACTCTATGCAACGCATAGGCTCCAGCTACTTCGTGCGGAATTCTCCAGAGGTGATTTGACAGCTGCCGTCCTTGCACTAGCTGGCTTGTGGCACAAGAAGAACACACTGCAGATACAGCATATGTACAGTACGGAACCACTCAACTAATCCTGTTTTAGTTCTGCATGTCCCACTACGACAAGTGTGAAGTTTCAAGGCTGTGCGTGAGCATTAGCAGGGAGTAGGCCACTTTTGAAGCGAAGTAGACTTGTGAGCTTCATAGCACCACAAGGTGGGCGCGTTGGGACCTTCTTCATGTATCTGAACGATGTACCAGAAGGAGCTTCGATTGGGCAGGGATGCCGACACGGTCACCAAGGGTCCGTGCCAAAAAAGATTACACGGAAAGTTCTCGAAATTACCTGTATTAGTACCAACCAGGAACCGCTATACTAGACTACGCTGCCAGAAAATCCTTGTGTATCCTTCAAAGCTTGAGAGCGCAGCTCCGTATACGGCTAAATGAGCATGACTTCCGACTGGCGTGCAACTTGTACAGTAGATGAGAGAAACCCCCGGAGCAGCATAACCCCGCCCACAAAAACAGAGCCTGCAGATGATTTCCTGGGATATTTCTGTTGAGCAATTTTGCAAACTCCGGCCAGGTCAGTCAGAGCCGGGGCGTGCAAACAAGACTTACCATACGCTTCTGCGCCAGCAGGAGGGGAGACGCAATTCTCCTTGTGGAATCTGACAATTACGCCTCGGATCCTGGGCAGGAGGTCTCAGAGCGTTTGCCGTTCCCTTTGCTCCGGAAACAGTGGGACTGCATGTAGCATACCTGTCAGGGAAGCAACTTTCGGGGTCGTTTGCCGATTTGCCCCAGGAGAGGCCTCGCCCTGCTCTGGTGGAACGTAAATTACACTGCTCTTCAGCAGACCACGTTTAGCCGCCCGGCTCGGATGAGATTCAAAGTCGTCATCTGCATCGGCGTACGAACAACAGGGCTGTGGTTTGCTTTTGCTTCTTATCCCGGTCTGTAGGACCTAAAGGTGTACTGTACAAGCCTGCAAGCAGCTCGGGTTGGAGTTCTTGACGCTGGAGGTTGCAGGATGCGCCTGGCGATCGCTTTGTGTTTTGTCACCCCATCTAAGTGACATGATCTCGGGCGTTTTTATTTAATCGGCAAGTGATTATCTAACGTCTCTAAGTCCTTCCCAAGGCGGCATGAAGAACATGGATGCCTGGCATCAGTCTCTGCCCGTCGTGGAAGGGGAAAAGCCACGGCCTCAGCCCATTGACCTCTTGATTTTTTGACAATGGTTCGGCATTCACATAAGAGGATATCAGGCATCGGGGCATCCAACAATGACAGGGAGAGGTGTCCTGGAGCTTTGTACCTTCTCTCGGCTTCTTGGCTTGCTTTACTTCATCCCCATGCTGTTCACATGCTCTATGAGCCCAGTAGAGCGAGCTTCTGCAAGTGCTCCCAAGAATGCTTTGTTATTGATTATGCGGGTTGCATAGTCGACCACAGGGAAGGGATTCAAATGGTGTTCGAAATTCACACGTAGCGGCAGCTTTCGCTTGCAGCTAAGAGAAGCATAGGCCTCTTCTTGTGGGATCAATGCGCACTTCTCGTTCACAAACCTTCTAAGCTTTGTTTGCCGGCATGGTTAGTTGAGAAGCTCTTCACTTGATGAGACACAACAGAAAGCATTGAGAGGATTGTGCCTAGCTATTGAGACAAATTGAGCGTTTGCTGTCTGTCTCTTGTTGGGGTTGGGAAAGTGACAAGATGCCAGGTGGGTCGTGAACCGCTGGCTGCATCCATATGACTTCCTGACGCCTTACTTTGAGGGTAAGCTGAGATGACTCGCTCAAAAATGTGCTGTGCCGATTGTACACGAGAGACCGACTCACCATCCAATCTACAGTCTAAACAAAATGCCAGTGCCTATTCGCAGCTGCAAAACCTCTTGGTAACAACTTTAACCTGGTTCCCGCGAGCTAGTTTACGGACTTGGCCAAGAAGACACTTGCACCCTTTCGATTGCAAGGTTGTGGCGGGGTCCTGGTTACTTGTTTTGCCAGCATTCAAGCTTTCGCGCTGGCTGTCATGCAACCTGATGGCTGGGTGCCATATCCTGCATACGCTGATCCATGCGCCTCCGGCAACACTCTCTTTCTTAGGCTCGCTCTGCTCAACTCCATGCTGACCTGCAGGGCTCCGCAGTGTCTTTATATCATCGAAGCAAAATCCGATGCGCAGACAGCAAGTTCTCCCAATCGTTGTTGCAGAGGGAGACTGCCTAGAGCATCGGCGAACAAAAGTTCAGTTGAGAATGATGAAGCGACTACCGTAACCAGGTTTCTGCCAGCTTACGATGATGATGTTTTGGCCGCGCTGCCTCCCAACCTCCATTGTGCCCGAAAGCCTGAAACGCTGACCTTGAGACGGCTGCTAGTTGGCCCCTGATGCTTTTCAATCTTCCAATCAGTCTAACCTGAACATAAGGCCTGACCTGGAGGCGCTAGGTAAGTAACAGAAGTGCAAAACATAGTTACGCTGGAAGATTCAAGGAACATGCGCTATGCGCCAGTGGTGAGCTCATGCCATTGTTGTCCTTAGCCTCTCACTCGGGGCACATCCGAGAAGGGTTCTGCACTCTTGAAGGAAGAACAGAAATTGATACCACACTGTAGCAGTAGTTTTTCTCCCGGTCTCTCATTTGCGACACCAACAGCCATTCGCTCAGCTCATGAGATGCGCGAGGAGGGGCCAAGCGGCAGAGGTGAACATCCGCATCCAGAGGACCTTTCTTTGCCATGAGATTTGGAGTACATGGCACGGGCAGGGCCTAGTGTGAGTGGCAGCAAATGCGTCTAGCGCGGATGCAAGATTTCTACGGTCTTTACAGATCGTGAGCAAAGAGCGCTGTCATCCACCGTGGGGAAACCTCAGTGTGCACAGGTGTTGTGATGTGACGGTACCTTTTTCAGGGTGCTGAGGTTGTGTCGTGCAGTATGCCGCGTTTAAACCGGAACCTGCGAAACGATAAGACATCCTACATGATGACGTTGGCAAGGAGACGCGGAGGGCCGAAGGCTGGGTTGTGGTCCAGTGCACAGAGTTTGGGGTTCAGCTTGCAGGCTTAAAGCTTGTACGTCAAGGTCTTCGACTGCTGCCATGCTTCGCATGCACACTTTTCAACAGCAAACAATCAAGGCCAGATTGGAAGTCCTTGGGGAACCATTCCCACAAATGGTGGCAAGTTGGATGTAGTTTGCGGCTTCTTTCCTCAGGCATAAAGGTCAAGACCGCGCTTTGGGCTTTGGGTTTCGAGCCACAACACATTGCGTGTCTCTGTAGCCAGCTTCTGGTCCTCGCTGCCCTTTGGACTCAAGCATACCTGCGACAGTCGGGAACCTCTCCGATACCTAAACCCTCTCCACATAAAGGTTGGAGTGTCTCTTGGTGTTGCAAGAGCAAGACTTGCTTTTTGTTTCTCGGAGCTCTTACTTTTTCTTTGCGGTTGTTCAAGTCCCCTCAGCAGAAGCCCTTCGCTCATTTCAAGTTCAACGCAGCTGCCTAATCCTAGACCCTTCGGTTTCTTCCACGTAGTTAACCTCCGAGGTTTCCAACCGCACGATAGCGAACCTTTTCCACGAATGGCGGGCCGAGTGGTAGGGCTGTTCGACTGCATCTTCGTCCAGCACCGCTTTTTGGCACCTGCACCTAAAGTATGAGCTCCAGTGAAAATTGTGATGATACAGGGCTTGAAAGATCATACCCGGATTGTCATGAGGTTGGGAGGGTGGTCGAGCTAGTCGGGGATAGAATGTTCACTGGTGAGTCATAGCAAGAACACAGGTCCGCATACTCCTGGCTCACAGAACTTATTGTATGCCGGAGATATTCAGTCTAAGACAACAGAAAAATGGATCATATCAAGCTTCCTTACCGGCGGGGTCTGGAAACCAACGAGGAAACATCTTGAGGCATCAATGCTCTCTCCTCAACCTTGCCCAGGAATCCCAACAATCAGATATTCCCTAAAAGACCAAGCCTTGTAGATCAGAATGTCAGTGTGAGGATTGGTTGCAACAAAGAACAACCACTTATTTCTGGTTGTTTGGGTTCCCATGTAGTGCAGCAGACCGAAGAACCAGAAAGAGTACTGCTTCGCATCCTTGTGAGAAAGCATCTAAGACATGTACCGCATTCAGTTCTGTATCTCACAACCTAAAGCATTCACCCGAAGGTACTTGTGGCCTGGGCATTCGCAGCCTTCCTCGGCCAGGGAACCGACCCGGGCAAGCCTCTTCCACTGCTAAATGGCGTCGAGCTGCCTTTTGGCAGCCCATGGTTGGGGCTTGGGGTTTAGGATGTTGGGTGTAGAGACGGGTGCTTTTGTCACATAGGTAGATCCCATGTGTAGGCTTTGAGGCCTACAGTTTCCCATCCCTGAAACAAGAGGATTCCATTGTTGCGTAGCTATGACCGGAATCCTCGTTTTCAGGTTATACCCCGAGCCCCGTATAGATCATACAGGCACCTCTTGACATGATGATGGCAGGCTTTGTGGGACGACTTTGTTCCATGAGCTGTGAGGGGGTGTAGTAGCTTCCAAGAGGCGGCTGCGTAATAGTTAAATTATATTTGAAAGGAGGCCCCCCCCCATTTTACACTATCCTCTTCATGCCTGCAGTCAGAGGCTATCACCAATCCGTTATGGTGTAGCATTTTCCAGGCCGTTGCAGCCCCTGTCCCCTAAATCATTACACATGGAGTAATAGAAACAAAGTTTGGAAACGAGCCCAGCCGAGAAGATGGGCATGGTTGTGATCTGGAGCCTTCCGTGACGTGATTCTTCCAACAATGCTCCCAGCTAGTCTTCTTTTGAGCCGCGCGGCGGCAAAAACCTTCCTGAATGCACTAAGGCTTGATATGGAGGAAGCTGTCCCCCTGACTCGCACAGCGGTCCTCTCTCACGTGCCCCAGATGCGCATTGACATGTTGAGCGCAGGTCATTCAAGTCATGCTGGGAGGCAGTGATCTGCAGCCACATTCGTCAGTCAGCCTTACTGTCAACACTCTCGCTCATCGTCTCGGTTTGGCATCATCGTAAATCGTAGTAAGAAAATTATTCCGTGGGGCATCCATGCTGTGGTTCCGTGTCTAAGGTGAAAGCCAACAGGCGGGTCACAGGCTCAAGTCTTGTGATGCGCTCAACCAGGGCCTTGGTCGCTTGGTGGAAATGAAAGAGCCAGGTTCGATAAGGACGAGAGGTCATGAGATTTTGATCGACAGGGCTTAGCTAGTAGCTTCCTAAGCCTACCGAGGCTTGCCAATGAACTCTTGACAGCGGCGCTTAGTTGAAAGTTCACTGATAGGGTGTCTAACGACAAACATGGAGTTCCGCACGAGGGCCCAAGCAAGAGTGTTGAATTGGTTGGTATGCTTGTAAGTGACTAGCTAGGTCAGGTATGTTTGCGCGCCCCATACAAAACCGCATTGTTACATCCGCCACATGCCGAGCCGCACAAAAGACGATGGATCTGGTGCTTTGGAAGCACCACATGTAAAGTATTTGGCTTTTTGAGTTGATGGGCCAAGGTCCTGGTCAACCCTTTGTACCTGAATCCTAGATATTATGTTAGTACAGCATACTTGGGATCGAGCAGCTTTTCTCCAGCAGTAGTTCCCTGGAAGGGCAGTTGGGGATGTCCTGAGCATACACCAGACGAGATGATAGGGCACACCAGACGAAACGTTCTCCCATTGAAGGAAGTGGCGGATGAGACGGAAGATGAGACTGCGGACTTGGATGTGGGCGCCTAGATCTGATAGCTTGCAAAGCCGAGCCCAGCAAGTTCACAGGGTGTTTGAGCACAGCGCAATTGAAAATGCGGCTGCTGTGCAATTTGTGCTTCAGCAGCTTCGGCAGAGCAAAAAATGCTGGAGGTAATACGTTTGAACCAACATCACGCTGGAGCGTCGCTATGCGCATCGGTCGTCGGAAAATGGGCGCCTGCAGCCCAGTACCATTCTTTGCCTCACAGGACGTCTTGTATACCAAAGCCATGCGCCTTTCACTGTAGAACCTTTCACATCGGAGACTCGAACTCTGAGAGCCCAGAAGCAGGGAGAAACCCTCGCGGGCCCGACCTTTTGCCAGCACCGTCTTAACACCTCACGCCGGCCAGGGCTTGCCATATCACTCCTGTCTGGAGGAGCGCTGCTGCGAGTTTGTGACTGGTCTCAAGTTGGGGTTTCCCTTGCAATGCAAACGGGGGATTTTGTGCAGGGCGGCCTGTTTTGCAAGGGAGGGTTGCACCAACGCAGGCCACATGGTGATGAGGCTTCAATGGGCTTCTATACCCATGACTCACGTCCCATCCGAACCACGCTATATGTCAAGCACCCGAAGTAACGGTCCCAGAACTGCTGTTTGAAACGAACCTCTCCAACTGTTTCATTGTCCAGTCAAGTCTTACCCCAATCTCCACAGACAGGCTCGCATGCACCAATATGCAGCAAAGGGCGCTACTAAACTTAGTCAGCAGATCTTCATAACTTGCAGCCCCTGGATGGCTACCCATGCTTGCCCTTGATGGTAGGAGGATGGTCACGCATCCTGAGCGTAGATGGACACTGGGCCATTGATTTTCCAGCTCGCTGCCGGACACGCAGCAGGGGGAGACTTCCAAATGGCCTGGGACTGGAGATAGCTTGGGTCTGCTATAGGTAACCTGTTAAGGAGTAAGAGGCATGCCGGCAGCTGAGCCAGGCACAAGTTTCGCCAAGTGCGGCAATGGACCCCCAAGTGCGGCATTCATTTTTGCGGGACGGTTCGCGCAGCACGGGGAACAGTTTAGGCAAAGGCGCAACCAATCCAAACGGTGCGGACCATACTTCCCAATATGCCAGGAGGAGCTGTGGTTGGAACAAGTTCGCCGTGGTGAACTGTCTTCCGATGAATAATTATGTTCATAGAGTCGATTTGGGCGTCGGGCTTCAAATTTCTGATTGTTGCTGCCGGCAACAACTCCATGTTTCCCTTTGATTAGCATGAGTTCGACCCCTGAGTCGGCAAACCGGGCCGCAGATTGCAGATTCAGTTGCGCCGTGACTGAAACTGCAGGCCACTTTGGGATGTTGAATCCTACGTCGTATTAGTCTCTTGCTTGCATAGAAGAAAACAGGGGTCCAAACCACGAAGAGCAGATGATGTACGAATTATACTTGTAGTCCCAAAGTTAGCCTGATATGCATGGGCGCTTTAAAAACTGTGACCTGTACGGCCTTCAGTGTTTCGTTTGGGTATGTTAAATGACCTACTTGAGCGTGATGCACTACTCACTTTTGCACGGGAACGGAACGATTTTGAAAAAGCAGTTCGTTGGACCCCTCACATTTAGAGATTCTGCTGGGGGTCCAGAAGTGGCTACTCCTTGGCGGACTCGATGAGCTTGCGGTGGGTCAAAAAGTTTGTTTCATAGAGACAGGGGGCGTAGGCTCCGATACGGGCGCTTGTATGTCTCCTTGTAGAAGATGGCAGGAGCTTTCACAGTGCTTCCATGGCTAAGTTTCACATAACTCGCCTATGCCAGGCCATTGGCTCACTTCTGCTTCATCCCGCCATGAAGTCCATGCAAAGTCTTGACGCTGATATCTCTCGAGGTGTAAATCATGAGTCAGGTTTTCCAAACCCTGCCACTGATTTTGGACCTAGCATCCTCCCACGTCCCATACCCCTGCCTGACCAGCCCCATCAAGATTCTGCTACCATTCA